AGTGACTAATCTGCCCTTTCAACCACACGGCAAGCAGCAGGCGCACGCAGAGCACCTTGGCCTACCTGTGGCACAAAGGGCAATGAACGTTTGTGCATGCTTCCGGATCAAAAGCAACTTGTCTTTAGGTAGAGGCAGCTTCCTTAGGATGTGTTCAATGAAATCGTGCGGGGTGACGGCTGCGAGGTTCCACTTCAACTTCCCCAGCACCACCAGCTCCCATTCCTGCAGGGGGGGACGGGGAGAGGAGAAGAGAAGAAAAGCCGTAAGCAAGCCTGAAAAAAACCACACTTCGCTTATTTCTCTGATTGCAATTATATCACTGCTAAATTGGTTTTGCTCAAACATTTTTGTCTGTATGCTCCTACTGCTTTGAAGTTGTTGACTTTATTCTTTTTATTCCTTTTTTTTTTTTTTAAACACTGGAAATGTCAAGCTTTACTGAAAATAATGAGACCTGGCAGCTCCTGCCAAGATTTTACTTTTTTTGTATCCAGTGTTGAATGCCCACCCAGAAAGTTTAGCCTGCAATTAGATATTGCCAAGGTCACTGTGGTCCTTTCCTAGTAACTTCTTTTAAATGGCTATAGTCCTTACTTTATAGCCATTTAAAGCCCTAGGGATAACCATGCACAAAAATAACCCAGATATACATTCTTTTTTTCAAAACTGGGGAAGTTAGCTTGATGGCATTCTCTCCCAAAACTGTATTCAAAAGCTCCTGCAGATAAATCTGACGGCGCTTGAACTACTCCAAGACAGGCTTTGCAGAAAGGAAATGCACGTAACACAGCCAAGAAGTAGCCTATATAAATTATCTGCCAATAAATCATGTAGGATCCATTCCCACATTCTTTGCACGCCCAAAACTCCCAGTGAAATCTAAGGAAAGCTTGGGCGTGTATGTAACTACTGGCCATTCCCTGCAATGTGATTACATGTAGAAATGGTACCTAATCAACAGATCCAGCCATGGCGTTCAAGCATGGCTAGACCTGCATGCTTCAACGTTTAAAATAAGTTTCGAATACCTTACAGTGCCCCGCAGAGTGAACAAAGCTCAGGCCTTGGACTCGTTTCTGTTTCATGCATCAACTATTAGCTATTAACTAAATTCCATGCACTGATTCTTGAGTCCTGATGATGCGTGAGCCTGACGGAGCCCAGCGTGGCGGGGAGCCCCAGCTAAGCTTGTAGAGCTTGGCAAGTCGAAAAAAAACGTCCTTTAATTTTGCAGCCGAGGAGACGTCAACCAGCGTTGCTGAGAAACCATAAACATGGACCCCACAATGCCATTTCTGCAGTCGTTTCTCTGAATAGATGCCCGCTTTAACAGCAAGTTACTTTCCTACAGACATTCCTACTGGATTATGACAGAGCCCTCCATAGCTTGAAAAATCTCATGTTCATGTATGTAACCGGCCCCAGAAACTACACGGGGTTTTTTTTTCTTTCTCAAGAAAACCTGTAAAATGTTTGAACATAATGGCAATTATGTTAACTAAGGACTGATCTTCCCAACATCACTAACGCGACAGATTTTGATACAGAAGAGCACTTAATCTGGAAGACTGAATACAGGGAAGCACTTAAAACACATCCTTAAATGCACGTGGCACAAAAAGGTAGGCACATCGTTCCGCGTCTTCTCGCGCGGGGACCACGGCACTTCCCCTAACGGTCCGTACCGCCAGCGGGACACCTCACGTCCGTGACAGCCAAGGCATGCTTTGCAGTGCAAAGCTCTTCACTGTGCAGAAGCATGAGCTCCCAACCCCTTCCCGGGGGGAATTCCCACCGCCTTCACCCCGTGATTCACAGGAGAAATTCTCCTGGGATTCGGCTGGCTACGCGCATTCACCAGGATCTGCGAGAACAAAGCGATCTGGCTGAATACGCATCTCGCCGAGAGGCTTACATCCTTGTCTAGCGCTCTATACCACGGAGCGCTTTGCAAATATTAATTATTCCGTTAAACAATTTTCACTCTTTCTGTTTCTGCTTTCACTGTGTCCGAATTGACCTGGAACTCTCCCAGGAGAAGCGCCAGACAGGGCCTCTTACTCACGGGGCCGTCCAACCGAGCTGAGTTCTCATCCCGCCACCTGCCTCGCTGGTAACCGACGGGGAACCACGTTCCCAAAAGCCACAGGGACAAGGCCGCGGCTTCCCAAGCTGCAAAACCAGCCATTCACCC